GGACTTGCCAGAGTGAAATATTACATTTTGTTCCAGCACATTCTTTGCTGTCAAACTCACAGCCCATGGGCCAGTTGCATCAAGTGCTGGCCCCGCTCTCACCCAGTTTATTGAAGGGGGGAAAATGTCCCAATACATCATGTGATGCCACCATGACAACACAAGTTTGACACTCCTAGTTTAAATCATTGTGGGGCTTGACCTGATAATTATATTTCCTGTGAGGAAATATTTTTGTTTTGAATTCTTTAAAAAAAAACATAGACTTCAAAAACCAAAGGAAAGTAGCAGGAACTAAAGATTACAAAGTTAAAAGAGAAGAACAGTCAAATTTACAAATACAGAGTGAAGTAGAATACTTTAACACTGGACATATTGAAGGATATTTTTGAATAATGTACCGAGAAATAATTTTAAGAGGGTCTCCTTCCATAGATAGAGCGTGTTTAAAAGATGCCATGGAAAACTTAATTGATATAATTGAAATGCATTTTAAAATGACAGGCTATAAGAATAGCATAGAAAAAGATGTTACACTAGACATACAAAAGAAATTGGCCAATGTCTTAATAATTAAAAGGGATATAGAGACAGCAAACCAACAGAGCCACCTGGAATATTGTCCTATAATGGACTTACAAAAGAAGCTTGTTAAAGCTTTGAAGAATTTTGTGAGAAGGGGCAAACAAAAAATGAAAAAAAATCAAATTGTAAGGTATTATTTGGAAGAAATAAATATGAATATTGTTAGACATGAAAAGAGGGGGTAGAAAGTTGCCTTCTTTCATCAATATTGAATTAGATATGTTGCTATCCCAGTATCCCTTTTGTTGGCCTCAGTGACAGGGTTTTATGGATTTGTTTATAGATAAGAAATGAAATATGGAAAGAAGCAATAATAATTACTTTAAAAAGTTTATACTTGTGAGAGATGAAGTCAATTTTTATACATTTCTTTTTCTTTACTATATTTTTTCTTTCTTTTATAATTTTTCTATTTTTCTTGATTTGCTTTCTTTTTTTCTTCTTTTCTTTAGTTTGCACTTGCATCAAAACATAATCTTGAATAAAATCACTATTTAAAAAAGAAATTTGGTTGGCTTTCATGTCTCTGACCACTCCCCCTTTTTTCCTTTACACACATTCATCCAAAGTAGGTTCTACGCATACCATATAATAACATACCCTTAGAATAATCAACCAATGCACGGAGGCATGAAATGAGAAAGTAACTGAGGGTCATATTTCAGGGAGAGCAAACATTTTTTAGAGTATTTGTGGTGATATTTGCGACCCTGACCCATTTCTCCCCAAACTACATTCCTTCCCTAAAGCAATACATTGTAGTTTTTCCTGTAGAGGTTTTCCTGCTAGCTCAGGCTATGCAACCCTTCAGTCACTGCTCAGAATACTACAAGCAGTTTCAAGTCATTTAGAGCAAGGGTCTTCAAACTTGACAGCTTTATGACTTGTGGACTTCAACTCCCAGAATTCCTCCTCCAGTCATGTTAGCTCAGGAATTCTGGGAGTTGAAGTCCACAAGTCTTAAACTTGCCAAGTTTGAAGACCCTTGATTTAGAGTGATTCCCATTGTTTTGTTTTGTTTTGTCAGCAAAGACCCCATAGGAATTGAAATCAATGCAGGAATTTTATCCTCCATCTTTGACAAGGGAAAGCTACAACCTAAGTGCAAGTCAGCTATACATTCTGACTGCAAAGGAAAGCCCACCCTAGGAAGGACTAAATGTTGACTTGAATTAACTGCAGAAAGAAAGACCTGCATTGCAGATTATACAGTGCTAAGCAAGGTACTGCCATGACTTGATATAAGAAGGTAACATTTGCTGGCTATAGACCTCAGAAAAGGGGAACATTAAAGAATGTGGTATAAGCTATAATATTATAACAATAAACGGTGGAAATTATTTATCTTACTAATCACAGGAGCCAATTCCACTATTTTTTTTACAAATGTTCATGAAATGTTATGATAAAAAACATGCAGAGATAGTGCTTCTTGAGATAATTACTTTAAAAGAGGACAAGAGGATTAACATGGTCAGGTAAACCCTATAAAGAGACAATAGCTTAGTGATAGCTTAATGTTAAATCCCGTGGCTTGGATTTAATTCTTCGGCATCTTTAGTGAAAATAAGTCATATTAGACTAGAGACCAACTCCCAACTTCCCTCACAATCGTGGTTACTCAAATATTTTCAAGAGTCTTCCAAAACAGAAAAGTGACAACTTAAAATAAGTACTTATCTAAAAGGGCAGATACAAAGTTTTAAAATGCTATCTTAAACTGTTCATAAAAAGGATTGTGTAAATGTGTTATAAACAACTTTGACTAGCTCAGAATAGCCTAGTCTGTTGTTTCTAAAGTGTGGTCCCTTAAAGTTCTTAAAGTGTGGACTCTCAATGATCCACAAAATTAGAATTATTTCCAGTTTAGGTTGAAAAATAAACAATATTAAAATCCCATCAAACAATTGTAGTAGCACTGAACGTATCCATTTTAATTTTTAAAATGGTAAATATAGATAAACCATGCAAATAAGAATTATTTTAGGTTCTTCCATCATTTTTAAAAGTGAGAAAGGGGAAGAAACACTGGTTTAGTCCATTATAGAGGCTTCAGGTATATTTTTAAAAATATTAAAAAAATAATTAATAGTGATGACCTACAGTCATCAATTTATTCAAAGCAGCAACCATTTTATTATTAAGGTTGAGAAAGGCACCATAAAAACTTCTCACATCAAGTGCTTTAACCTGGATTCAAGTAAAAGAAAAAAAAAACTCAGCTGTTTATATCTATCCTTCCTCTTCAACATAACTTGTAGTTTCACCTTGAATCAAGGCAAATGGCTAGTGAAATAGCTATATAAACTGTAAAAAAAAGATTGTCAATTTTTTTCCTCAAACACTCTAAGAAGTTTTCCAAAACAAACAGTGACAATAAACTAACTACATATCTGAAAGAGCAGGTTATAAAAGATACAGCTGATACAAAAAAAAGTTTAAAAAATGACAGTAATTAGAAGCCAAGTTCCATCCAGCATATTCAATAAATCATGTACTACATAAAACAAAGAATATTATTCAATAAAACCTAATTTCATTAAATAACTCCTTCAAATTGCTTAAACGCATACAGTAATGGAACATAATTCAGTTTTAAGTGGAACAGTTTAAGACATGGAATTATAATATCTGCCATCTGATTTGTTCATAGTACACAGAATAATTTCTAAGTACAGATATGAGTACGAAAAATATGAATAGGAAGTAAGGTGAATCACTTCTAAAACTCAGCCATATGCATAGTTAGGGTTGGGTGGACAGTACAACAGTTCGTGCCTAGACTGATGAAGATTTAGGAGAGAGATATAAACAGCCAACTACATGCTTCGCCATTATCAATGAAAAGACCTACATCCTTGCTAGATCACTGTAAGGGAAGGAATTCTACATGGGTATATAGTTCTAAATTGCAAAAATTCAATTGCTGGTAGGTTTTGTAACCCTGACGCTTTTGTCTCTGCAAATCTTGCTTAAGAGAAATTATCTGTGAAACTCATGCTTGGGGAAAAATTCACTGTGTTTTAAACAGCTGCCAATATACCAGATAGATAGCAGAGATTGATACAACAGAATATTTCTGAAGCTTTGCTGGAGTTGGGACCCTTAAAGTAATAGGAAGAGAAGATATTGGTCTGGTGCACTGGCCAGGTAAGGTATTCTCTTGCGAAAGTCAACAAATGACTCACAGAACACCTTGAAGGCAAACAAGACTATGCTGATATAAATTACTCTCCTGAAAACTGCAGTTTTTAAAGCATTGGTACTAAATATTCTGACATCAGAAAGAGAATTCTCAATTCTTGCTCTTGCCTTTTAAATGCACTTCTCTATGGTGCTGAGTTTCCTTGACCAGCCATTTCACTGTCATTAAGCAGAAGCTTTTAATGTTCTTGGTATGTTATGTGGCTATGGCTTTGATTCTCCCTTTCAAAGTAAACTCATAAATTGCTTTTATAGTTCTGGAGTGATTCAGGGTATTGATCAAGCTGTAGTGCAGGTCCCTTGTCACAGTGGCACAGGTGGTTAAATGGAACATGAGAGCAGTTTGTGCAGAGGAAGAAAACAGTGAAAGTAGAAAAGAAAAATAGTTTGTAGGGACAGCTATTGAGGATTAAAATCAAGAAGCTGCACAAAGAAGTACGGTACTTTATCTGTCATCTGACACTCAATTAATAGATCAAATGAGAGAGCAATAACATAAGGTAAGAAAATCTCGTAATACCAACCAATAAATCATTGTCCATGGACAAGCTGCTTGATATGTGCATCTGAGACAGACTATTCAATGTAATGTTTCCTCTGAAGCATGGAAGGCAAGGTTTTGGCAAGGAACTAAAGAAATAAATGTATCACTCAGCAGTGGAAAGATGGAAGAGAACAGTGTGCACTCTCTTAACATTGTAAAGTCACATTTGAAAGGCCTTGTATCTTGCAATTCCAGGAGATGTTAAGATAGCTTTAGGTGAATCCCAGTATTCTGATCTTCTAACCATCCTGTTTGTATAACCGCTAACTTGTGAAGCATCGTAGAGATGACTGAGAGTGGGGATGAACCTTGTAAAACGCTATATATGTGCTCACAATCATTATTATCATCTAGTCTTTCTCTATAGACCATGGGTTAATAGTCACAAATAATGGAAGTTATATTCCAAACAACGTTACTAAAGCAAAAAGCAAGTTTATTGAACTAGGTTTATGATAGAACAGAGGTCCATTCACGGCTTTGCTGCAAAACTGGATAGACTATACCGTATATATTTAATGAAATGACCAAGAAGCTATCTCGATGTCTATATCAAATTTTACTTATTTCTATAGTTCAAATTCATTTTCATGTACAACTTTACTGTCACCTTTTCATCAAAATTAATTTTAAGTTCAGTGGAGAAATTTATGAAATGGATTCTTACCTTGATCTTCTGAAGAAACAGGAGACCTACAAATAAAGAAACAACAAGGAGCTTTATTCTCTGGTTTCTTTAGGTTTGTTTCTTAAAAAGGCTTTAGTGGCCTTGTTGGAATTTCTGCAGAGGTATCCGCAAGGTGAAATGGGATGGAATGGCAAGCTATAAAAATGTAGGGCACAAATCACACAAACTGCTATCTTAACGTTCTTAAATCAGAACAGTGAGATCCTAGAAACACTTTTCAACATTGCTCATTTTATCCTAACAAACATATCTTGCTGCCAGCATCAGCAAAACCTTGGCCGACTCTGCATCCTGAACTAACACTAAAACTTCAAATCAAGTTCAGTAGTAGTACAGCATACTGCTGGCTACTTTGCTCTTAATGTATTCAAGCATGCACGCGCGCATGCGCGCACGCACACACAAACACACACACAAAAGTTGTTAAATATACCCCTAAAAATAGCAAATATAAAGATCCTATTCTTAAGCAGTTTGAGCAATATTATTGTTACAAAGTTAGCTCAAAATTAAATCCCATGTACTTTACATTAACCATAGCAAATATAGACAGAATAATAGAAGCTGAGTAATAAATAGATGGAATGAGATGGGGTATTCCTACAACTTTAAAGTCCCCTTCCAAAACTGTCCCGCAACTTTTGTCTCCCCCTTTTCAGAAGTTCTGAGAATAAAATTTAAAAAATCTAGCTGCTACCAGTTCTGTCTTCCCCATTCTAAAGTCCTTCAATCCCACCGTGGAGTAAAAAAGTCAGTCTCTCTCTTGAGCCTCCTCAAGATAAAGCGAGAAAATAATTGATTTTGTAGCTTTGGCCAAAGGTTAATACAATCTGGCATTTTAGCAGTAAGCAAGGGGGTAGATAAGATCAGGGACACAGTCAAGAAGAAAATCTATAGTTTAGCGGCAAAGCTCATGTCTTGATGGCAAGAAGTATGAGCCTTAATCCCTGACAACTTCAGCTAAAACAATTCAAAAGAGCAGACGATGAAAATCTACTTTTGCCATACAGATTCAGTCTTGATAGTCAAATAATTCAATCTCATATCAAGCAATTCTAGTGTACAAGTAGTCCTTAAGTTACAACCACAATTGCTATGAAGTGTTCAATGTTTGACCATGGGGCTGCTACAATGATTGTAAGTGTGAAAAAATGCTCTTAAGTCATTTTTTTCCAGTGCTGTTGTAACTGAGGGTCACTAAATGAATGTTGTAAATCGAACACTACCTATATAGCATTGATGGATGAGGGTTTAATCCAACCTGTTAAATTAAGTAATCCCTATCCATTCAAATAATAATAATAATGAGATGTGGGAAGGGGAAGAACTGATGTTGAAGTAGCTTCTGTCCTTCACAAACTATACAATATTTGTCAACTCTTCACCTGTACCATTTTTACTGTTGTACTGTCTGGGGGGACAAATGAAGAGAAAAACATGTTTTGAGTTATTCACTCTGCTGAAGTGCTTATGAGAATGAGCTGTCCATGATTGTTCTAAAATTTAGTCCCACTGCTGTCCCTTGTAGCCATGCAGCAGCATAAAAGGTAGCTAAGCCTGGGTACTTGCAATTATTGAAATTCAGAAAGAAGCAGCACACAATTATCCACTTTATAATTACAAGCGAGCATCTTTCGGGTTCCATTTTTTAAAGTGTGCCTCAGTAGAATTGTTATCACAGCAAGATGGTTAGAGGCAATTAGCCTTGCATCTGAAATGACCTGAAGCAGCAACTGGGAGAAAAAATGACTATGATCATTTTGGCTGAGAAAATTGTAACTTTTCTACTTTATCTGCCCAGACCATGGAGTAGACATGTTCGTTTGTGAGGGAGAAAGGCAATGATAGTCTAAGCTAACTTTAAACAGGCAGGATTGCCAGAACGGGAACCTTAGACTCACTCACATGAGATGGACAACCATATAAACTGAATAAAATAAATATACCCTATAACTGAACATTTCCACTGGAAAATGAAGGAACCCAATTCTGAAGGAAAGCAAAGAGGAGGCTAATAGCCAGTATGCTCTAGTAGTGGTTAAATCACCAGGCAAGAAAGTGAGAAACTGTGAATTCAAGTCCCGCATTAGCCATGAAAGCCAGCTCAGTGGCTTTGGGCCAGTCACTTTCTCTCAGTTCAACCCACCTTACAGGCTTGTTGTTGTTGTGGAGAAAATAGGAGGATGGAGATGTGTTGAATATGTTCACCACTTTGACTTATTTGTAAAAATAATATAGGTGATACAAATAAATAAGCAGGAGGCTAATAACAAGGTTTAATCTTGCCAGACTAAAGCAACTTTCTACATATCTACAGACATACTTTGGAAAAAGCTAAGGAGGAGCCATTTTAACTCTCTTTCTGCTATCCAAATTTCAAACTCCACCACCTCTTTACCAACTGCAAAATGGAGCCTCCCTCCTAGGAATCCAGACTACATTCCAACACAGTAGAAAAAAATAAATGGACAAGGTCATGGTGCTGATATCATATTGTTCCTACAGTAGGCTTGGAAATACAGTGGAATGAACTGAATCTCGTAGTTTGTACAACACACTGAACCATAAATTTAACAACCCAGATGGTAAGCCACTAACCAATATAGACCACAACTGAGCCCAAAATTTATGTTGTTAAGTGAGACATTTGTTAAGTGAGTTTTCCCCCATTTTACGAACTTTCTTGCCACAGTTGTTAAGTAAATTATTGCAGTTGATAAATTAGTAATCCAGTTGTTAAGAGAATCTGGCTTCCCCATTCACTTTGCTTGTCAGAAGGTCACAAAAGGGGATCACATGACCTTGGGACACAGCAACAGTCATAAATATGAAGCAGTTGCCATTATCTGAATTTTGATCACTTGTTCATGGGGATGCTGCAAAGGTTGTAACTGTGAAAAAAGGCCTTAAGTCACATTTTTCAGTGCCGTTGTAACTTTGAACAGTCATTAAACACACTGTTGTAAGTCAAGGGCTACCTGTAATTCTAATCAAGCTTAATATTAATCAAAATTAGCATTTGTGTATATGCTTCTGCTGGTCCCCATCCAACTGTTTATGAACACAGCAAGGCACTATTCCCCATTTGTGGACTTTCACTCTGCAATACAAGATTGCAGGATTACTTGCTGGGCCAGCTGAAGGCTGCCTCTTCTGATGGAACTGTGATGTATCTTCCAATGCAGGACCACACTATCCCTGCCCTACGAAATGAGAGCATTTTCCCTTTGGTCACGCAAAACTTACACTAATCAGGAAAGCCAGCAACCCTTTTAAAGCCAGATGCATCTATTCCAGTGGTGGGATTCAAAAATTTTTTACTACCAGTTCTGTGGGCATGGGAAGGTTTTGCAGAGGAAGGTTACTGCAAAATCCCCATTCCCTCCCCACCCCACTAACCTGCTTTCCAGCTTCCTTCTCCTGTGCAAGGCAACAAAAGAAGACCCAGCCGATCAGCTGGGACTCGGGAGGCAGAGAATGGATGGGAGTGGGGCCAATCACAGGTGGTTTTTGCCAGTTCTCCAAACTTCTCAAAATTTCCACTACCAGTTCTTCAGAACTGGTCAGAACCTGCTGAATACCATCTCTCATCTACTCCATTACCTACCGTTCATAGTAACTCACAGAGCCTGAATTTAGCATCTGTAATCCCATCCCGAATGTTCCAAAGCAGCTAATTCTAAAGAACGGGTAGTTCTAAAAAGCTGATGAATGGTTTTCAAAATGTCCCATTTGACATCTGCTCCAATTTGAGAGAGAAGGAATCTATTTCAATGGAAGCAATGAAGAGAAGGGATTTGCAGTGCAGAGCTGAGGTCGATGGGATTTCAAGATTCATGACAATTCAATGATCCTCCTCCAGGCACATTTAAAAAAGAAAAATTCCAGCAATCCAGTACATTATTCATAAAGACAAATGCCTCTAGAGAACGATCAAGCCATCCTAAAGCAGCTATTTTTATCAGCAAAAAAAGCTGCTATTTTTACCAGACACTAGAGCCTCTGCCACCTAAAGCATTTTCACACACAGCTTTTAAGAATATAAAGTGCCAAACAATAAAATAACTGTATTGACCCTGTCTGGCATTTGAGTGTCCTCTTCTTTGCTGAGCAAATTGTGTGTTTTTGCAAACCTGCTACCTTGGTTTGGGGAAAATGTGTTTAACTAAATAAAGAAATCCTGCATCTAAATATTTTAATTCTCTCTTTCTTCTTTAATTCTTTCTCTTTACTTTTAGACATTTATTTTGTTCCCTTAGTTCTAAAAGTGTTCTTCTAAGTGATTTCTTTTTTTTTTTTTTAGGTAGATTGCAGATGATGTTTAAAGAGAAGCTTGAAAGGATGTTAATGTGCAATTGTATGTATGCACACAATTATTGTATCCCATTTATATCTGCTTCAGACAGGCATTCGGTGTGGGTTCTTTTGCAGATGACACAACACCCACACAGAGGACAGATAATTAACCTCCAGATTGGATGAAGTCTATTACTTAAATAGTAAATTAGCATTTTCTTAGAAAATGAACACTGGCAAGTTCGCGATTAACCTTACGAGCCTTTATTTTCCGTGGTTCATATGTACAACAGATTTAAACCTATTTAGTATGATTTCTCTCCTTTTTTTCCTTAAAATTTCCTTTTGTTCTATTACACTTATATTTATTTTGTTAGTAAATATAATAATATATTCAATATATAATAATTCGCTATATTGTTTCTATTTCTACACTACCTGCCCTTATTTTGTAAATCTATTTCTTAAGGTGATGTCGGAGATGACCAGGCTGAGCCCAAGGGCAGGGTCAAATGCATCATCAGTCTGGCATCCCTACACCACCCAAAGAGACCTAAGTACAGTCCCATTGAAGTCTGTTGACTCTTATCTAGTGCCAATTTGTCCTGACTGTTAGTAGATCAGATTCTTGTGTATAGGTTGCATGAAATAACCCTGCAGTACTTTAAACTTTATCCTGGCTTTGGGTTTCTTATGCCTGGCCAGTATG